CAATCTTAAAAAATCATGTATGGTCATTTGTTTGGTCTTAGCTTTTAAATATATACTCTTTTCATTTTAATGAAAAATCACAAGAAACTAAATTTAAAAACATACCTTAAAAAGGGTTTCTTTAACTCACTTAATAGAGTTTGTCTGTTTGGTGAGATGCTGAGATCTAGCCTTGAAAGATTTTTTCTCAATTTTCAAATTTTTAAATGGTATTGTTATTATCAGATAAACAATGTTTAAAATAATTATTGAAAATATAAAAGATAATGTTAAGAATTGTAAATAGTGAATTTACTAACTATGTAATGTTTTTTAAGATTAAGTTAGTTTTTGTGGTATCGTGTCCATCAAGTAGGGTCGTATCTATAAATATTACTAACATTCAATAGGCACTTTTGTCATCTTCACAGGGGATAAAGTTAAACTTTTACTAATAAAAAGGGTATTTTGCAAATAAGGTTATGGACAATAACTTCTAAACTACCCGTGTTCTTTGACAAAATTTCAAATTTAACCTTACTTAACATTAGTTTACCTATTAAAATACTTTCTAAATTTTTTTTTTTTATACATACACTCATCTTAACACATTCTAATAATAACTTTTTTTATTTTGAATGGTTGTTAAACAAAACCATCACATATGTGTGTGTGTGCGGGTGCAGGCATGTAAGTGTATATGGAATTGTCTACTATGATACTATGAAACCGTTTATTTTTAGTACAAAGAGACCACAATCACTTTTTGCCATTCAATGAGAAATCCAATAAATGAAAGTGTATCACATTATTAGAGAAGTTTTATTTTTTATGTTGGTCCTAAATAATGACACATCTTTATACACAAGATTTCAAATCTAATGGTCCACGATGATTATGACTTCTTGGTATCAAACATAAATGATCTCATTGTATACATTTTCTATATAAATTTTGTTATATAAGGATAAGGCTCTAAACAATCCAATTAAGCCGCATATCCAAAAATTACTGGAAGAGGTTGTTTCGATAGCCAAAAATCTTCAAATCGACCATCTCGACCTCAATATATTTGGACATGGGAAAAAGCGGATTTCAAGTCTTGCAAATAATGTATTCTGTGATGTATTTTTTAGACTGTCAATTTTCAAGATCTTCAAGTGTTTATAGATATGTTGATCTACACTATTTTTAAAGCTTTAAATTTCATAATTAGGTATAAAAAGAAATTTGTATGTCATCACAAAGATTTATAGTACTGAAACAATATCTTTTAACTTCTTGAAAGTGCCCCTTATTTTAATTGTTTTGGCCACATCCCCACACACACGCACACACACATATATGGGAAACGATATCATGTCACCATGTCATTATAATATAATGAATCCAGACTCTTAGAAAGCCATATTTATGGTATTTGTATGACCCACAATCTTACACACATACTCTCTTCATCTCAATAATCAATCTAAACAAAAAAAAAAATCAATTTTCACCCTATATATAGTCAAAATGAGTCTCTCTTACAATGAATCTAGACCGTTCATTTGGTGAAGTTCATGATCTAGGCCGTTATGAATTCCAAATGTAATTTTTTATTTTTTAACATTGTTAATCTAATGATAATAAATTTATCTAAAAAATTCGGAAAGAATAAATATCCTTCTAAAGCCTAGATCTCTGTATCCCACTAAAATGGACGGCATACGTTAATTGGCCTAAAACATACTTTCTAGATAGTGTTTTCAAATTTTTCTTTTTTTTGTGATTGTTCGTTAGGATTAAAAGAGTGTATATTTTAAATTTTGGGTCAAACAAATGGCCCTAACATGGTTTTTGAAAATTGTTTCATTTTATTACTATACAACCATTGCATGAAATCACTATATTTATATATACAATGAAAGAACCACTACAAAAAGTGTGGGGCACAATTATCTTTTCATAAAGTTCCCTTCCCTCTCTAAATTTCTTTATCGTATCAGAGCTATTGCTTCTTGTTCGCATCATATTGTATCGATCCCTAAAACACAATCGATAGAGTGCAAATTTAAAAGTGAGACCTTACCATCGTTAAAGGTTACTCCACCACTCAGGTTCAGCCTTCTTTCGTTCTTCTTATTTTCACATCTCTTTCTATCTTCTCATACCATTTATTTATTTATTTATTTATTTATTTATTTATTTATTAGGATTTAGCAAATTATTTATTTGGTGCAATTTGGACGAGAGAGAGAGAAAGAGTTGGTGCCATGGGGAGAGATAGAGAGGGGGTGAGAGAGGCTCAAATGAGTATTGAGTGTTGAGGTATTGGGAATGGACCAACAAGAGAGGCTTATAAAAGGCAAGGTTCTATTAAAAAAACAAAATATTAAATATAAACTTGAGGAACAGCAAATAGCAACACAGTAGAAAGAGCTTTAAATATTTGTAGGTTGTGGTTTGATAAGGTTGCAACATTAAACAATCAAATTAAGGAGCTACTCTAAATTTTATTATGAATATAACATTGGTGTAAAAAAATTTTAAGATGGCTTAAGAATGTATTCTCATCTCTAATTATAAAATCC